AGCCATGTCAAGAAGATGCCGATTCTTGCGTTCGGCCACCCCATTTTGTTGAGGGGTATTGGTGCAAGAGGTTTGGTGGATAATGCCATGAGTAGAGAAATATTGTCCTAACCCAGAATCTATGTATTCCCCGCCATTATCAGAACGAAATATTTTGATAGTGGCCCCAAACTGAGTACAAATCATCTTATGAAAAGTGCGAAACACAGAGAAAACCTCACTCTTATCTTTCATGAGATACACCCAAGTAGCACGAGAAAAATCATCAATAAATGTAACAAACCAGCGATGACCTTTCACAGACAGAACACGAGAGGGACCCCAAACATCAGAATGTATTAATGAAAAAGGAACGAAGCTTTTATTCCAACTGGGAGCAAAAGAAGCTCTATGTTGTTTTCCAAATTGACAAGACTCACAAAGAAAGTCAGACACATGATGATTTGCGAAACTAGAAGGAAATAAATGCTTAAGTAAATGAAATGAGGGATGCCCAAGACGCCGACGCCACAGCCATACATCAGCGGGGGTAGTAGAAGACGTGGTGGAAGAATAAGCAAGTTTGTCCGGTTGATCTAGGAAGTAGAGACCATTTTCTGCACTACCACTGCCAATCGTCCTCCCCGTGACAAGGTCCTGAAAAAGACAATGATCAGGAAAAAACGTCACACTACAATTCAAATCCTGGGTAAGACGACTTAAGGATAACAGATTAACAGAAAACTTGAGAACATGGAGAACAGAAGATAGATGTATGGTAGGAGTGACTTGGACTAAACCTTTTTCAGAAATGGAAGAAACACTACCATCGGCAATCCTAACTTTGTCCTGACCTGAAGAGGGCTTATAGACAGAAAAAAGATCAGAGGAGGCAAACATATGATCTGAGGCACCAGAATCAATAATCCAAGGCAAAGATGTATGACACAGGAAAGCACAAGGAGAAGATGCTAAGTTACTTGAGCGGGCAAAGGACGAGGAAGCGGTACTGAGAGCAGTAGAAGATCGGCGGTCCAACAATTGGCTCAAAGCATCCTCCAGCTCAGTATCAGAAGCTTGGGTAACAGAAGTAGAATTAGAATCAAGGGTATCAACGGCACTAGACTGATGAGCCCAAGAATAGGAACCACGTCCTCTAGATTGGCCTGACCGACCTCCTCGAGAACCAGACCGATCACCTCGACCCCCGGATGGAGTCCCATGAAGCTTCCAACACGTCTCACGAGTATGCCGCGGCTTCTTGCAATAATCACAGAATACAGACTCCTTAGCAGCAGACGGAGGAGGCAGGCTGAGGCCATCTCGAGGAGTAAACAGTAATGCGGAACGGTTAATAGAGACAGGGGACATCATAGCAGACCAGAGACTCTCCTCATTTCGTACATAGGCCAATGCCTCCTGAAGTGAAGGAAGAGTGTCCATACTCAGAACTCGACCCCTAACTGGATCATACTCCACATTTAGGCCGGCCAAAAATTTAAAGACCCGTTCCCGTGCGATGAACTTCTTGTACCCGACAGAATCAGTAGGGCAAACGGGCTTATAGTCTTCCAGGTGGTCAAGGCGTTTCCAGCCGTTGGTGAGGAAAATGAAGTACTGAAGAACAGTCTGCTCCCCCTGAAGTGAGCTCTCAATAGAGCGGCGCAACTTAGAGTGGCGCAACTCAAATGCCTGTGAAAAATTCCCTTTGCGGGAATAGGTAACAGCCACAGCCTCCCAAACGTCCTGGGTAGTCTCCATAGACAAGTAGCCCTCACCAAGTTCTAGAACCATCGAATGGATAAGCCAACTTATAATCAAAGAGTTGGTAATCTCCCATTGGACATAACTTGAGTCAGTGGTACTAGGTGCCTGTATCCTGCCATCAACATACCTCATCTTCCCTTTGCTCTTCAAAAACATAGTCAAACTTTGGGGCCATGCTAGGTAGTTCTGACCATTAAATAGAGAGGTGGTGATTTTCAGACAAGGGTTAGAGGTTCTCAGTCATGGTAGTAGGTAGAATGGGACTCTCACTCTTTGGTGTTTGAGAAGAAGGGGACACACTGGTGGAATCTGTCATGGATACAATACTACCAAACCCGCAACAAAACTAGTGACAATCACAAACCCGGAAGGTGGTAGTGAGATAACAGGCACAATGACCACTATAAAGACATAACAAAATTACGAAACCATTTTATTTTATTTTAAACCATTTTATTTTATTTTATTTTTTTTTTTGTTTTGTTTTGTTTTTTTTTTTTTTTGAATTAATTAATTAATTAATTAATTAATTAATTAATTAATTAATTAATTAATTAATTAATTAATTAATTAATTAATTAATTAATTAATTAATTAATTAATTAATTAATTAATTAATTAATTAATTAATTAATTAATTAATTAATTAATTAATTAATTAATTAATTAATTAATTAATTAATTAATTAATTAATTAATTAATTAATTAATTAATTAATTAATTAATTAATTAATTAATTAATTAATTAATTAATTAATTAATTAATTAATTAATTAATTAATTAATTAATTAATTAATTAATTAATTAATTAATTAATTAATTAATTAATTAATTAATTAATTAATTAATTAATTAATTAATTAATTAATTAATTAATTAATTAATTAATTAATTAATTAATTAATTAATTAATTAATTAATTAATTAATTAATTAATTAATTAATTAATTAATTAATTAATTAATTAATTAATTAATTAATTAATTAATTAATTAATTAATTAATTAATTAATTAATTAATTAATTAATTAATTAATTAATTAATTAATTAATTAATTAATTAATTAATTAATTAATTAATTAATTAATTAATTAATTAATTAATTAATTAATTAATTAATTAATTAATTAATTAATTAATTGTAGTACAGTAAACAGTAGGTCTTAAAGACCGAACAGTAATGATGGCCATCAATCAGTAAACAGTAATGGTTCCACGAGGGAACCGACAGAGATCTCTGTAACAGTACCAGTAAACAGTAGGTGCTAAGGATGCCACAATATAGTTCAGAATATAGGACATGCATTCATTCAATTAACAGTATCAGTTCAGAAAGCAGTACAGTTCAATTGTCTGCTGCTGTGGCGGAGGCTGCTGCTATGCATGTAGCTGCTGCTGTTACTAAGCATTTGGGCACATGGACTCGATTTTTTTTGAATATATTTTTACACTTCATGCAGGAGAAATGTCAGAAAAATAAGGAAAATCGGTTTGAGCTTAAAGTTCTCCATACAGCTGGCTCAAAGGCATTTAGAAAGGTGCAATATGATGAGGTAAACAACTGACCTTTAAATCATAGGGTCTACGTGGCACTTTTTTTATTTCTTTTATTTGGTGATGTATGTACTCCATAGGATACTAACTATAAAGGTTTTGACAGCGAGACAAGGATGGAAAGGAGCTTGGACTTGTTGATTTGTATCACAAGACACACTTTAGTCAGAAAAGGCAAGCATGGGTCCATAATGAAGCTGAAATTAGACATGTAAGAATTTTCTAATGTTAAATATAAGTATTTTCCTGTTAATGATTACTTGTCTAAGGCTCATGTGTTGTGAATCTTTAGCACTAAAAACGAACAATGTAAATGATTATGAATGTAAATGATTTGGACTAGATCACCTGTTTTTAAGTTTGGAAATATTGGAGTGAAAGTTTATGAGACAAAATGGTATGATTTGAATATTTGCAGCATTGTTGTTGCAAGGCTAAGGTTTGGTAGGAGCTTTAACTGTATAGGCACTGACCTAATAATCCATCTTGGTCCAACTTGGTCTTGAGACCATAAACTATGTCATGCTTGATCTAGTGAATATTTGCAGTCATAATCTGTTCCTTGTTCTTGTCCAAAACAATTGCATTGAAGAATAACATAATCCCTTCCCATATGTTAGTTTAACCATACTTTGTTTTTGTTTTTGTTTTTTTTCTTTTTCTTTCGTTTCTTTTTTGTACAGACTATATATTTTCTAATCTTTTGGGATGAGAAAAGGAGTTGACAAGATTTGAAACCTCACTAGTGACTGTTTCAATTACTCGCACTTGTGTTCAGATTTTATTTTATATTGCTTTATTTGAGATTTTTCTCACTTTTGAAGTTCTTTTGTATTACTGAAATTTTGTATTTGATCTTTAGTGTGAAGGTAGTTCATTTTCATAGTAATATGATATACGTTATTGTAAAATATATAGGCTCTGTTTGGTTGTGAATTGAAAATGTAATTCTACAGGTGTGTTTCAGTATGATGTTTGGTTGAGTGTTTGGAATCAATTTTCAAAATCTCTGCCGAGAGCTCTATGCATCAGCAGCCTTTTTTGTGATTTTTTTGCCTCCGGGAAGACCGCCCGGATGTCCATGGGGTCTTCCGCCCGGACGTCCCTAGGGACATCCGCCCGGATGTCCTCTGTTGTACAGATTTTTTTATTTTATTTTATTTTTTTTTTGCAATTCATTTATATAATCGGGAAAAATATTTTCTGAAAATTTTTAAATTTTTTATGTGCTTTAAAATAATTTTGAATTGTATGTTTAGTTATGAGTTGTAAATTTTTGTATCACATATCAAATGTCACATCAACAATTTCCCACTCAAATCAAACCTCTTTTCCAAAACTATTTTCAAAACTCTTTACCAAACAAATTTTCTACACTCAAATCATAATTCTACAACGCACAAACTCAAAATACAACTCATACTCTCAAATCACATTTACAAAACACAACCAAAGGCAGGCATAGTATTACTCATTTATCTTTTGACACTGAAAAAAAATGATAACAAAAAGTAATTAAATATAATATTTTTGTCCATTTGGTACATATCGATCTATTCATTTATTTTTATTTTTTTTTAAAACCAAATAACCTGAACATTATGAAAAATAGAGTGGAAGCAAAAATTTAGGTCAGACTTTGATGAACAGCATAAATTTTCTTACCGCCGTAGTTGCAATGACCTAACTTAAACAACTTCTTGGAAGAAAGCCATTTCCATTCCAAACAAAAGCTAAGCTCTGGGGCAATTCTGCAATAGGCCGAAATAAACTTTGAGCTCTTCTATTACAGAACTGGCTTCAGCAGAAAGAAGATTGCAACAGAGTTCTTAAATGTTTGTTAAGATCCTTGAGATCAAACACAACAAAAAATGATTTCTCAACCTCATTGGCCAGCATTTCTTATGGTTGAATCAGACACTATTAATTCCTAACAATGTCATAAATTATACCGACAAATGATTGGGAAACTACAAGATACTTCCCGTATATAAGGCCGCCCCTGCTTCTTGTCAATTGGCCAACCATGAAAAAATCTGCATGGCTAGACATCAGATACCAAATCAAAGTAATAGCCAAAAAGGTCCTCAATTCTCCTTTTCTTCAACATCTTCATCCGAGCGTGGATTCTCATCAACCTCGCTTCCACTGCTTGATCCAGAGTTTCTGAGAAACGTGGACTTCTCTCCCGATGAACCAGTATTGTTAGAAAGGTTGTACTTCAGAAATTTCACACGTTTTTTCTTTTCAACACTACCCTTTTCTTTCCTCTTTCTACCATTTTCTGTTGATGATGTCAGAGTGTGCGCAGCAGCAACAAATGCGGCACTCATGGACTCGTTTGTCTTTTCATCATCCTGGCTCCCATCTTCCTCTTCCCCCTTGTTGTCAATGCAGAAGAGATCAGCATCTGGTTTTGTCCTCTCCGTGTTATATGCTTGTTGCTCATGTTCGAATTCTGGCATATCAAGAATTAATCTGGAATGGTTTTCAGCAATTCCATCATCCAATACTCGGATCCCTAGATCCTCCAACTTGAATAACCATTCTGGAAAATAAGACCAATTACAATTATGCAATTAGAGAGCTATATCGGTCATAAACTGTATACTAAAACTCATGCCATTCATTTGGTCCTACCCTTTGTTATAGGGACTCGGGTAAAGGGGTAAGTGTGTATCTAGATATCAGATCCATCAAACCACAAATTTATAGGTACACCGGCTTGGCAAAAAATTCTCATATTTTATATTTTTAATCAATTATGTGAAATAAAATGGCATTAGATGCAACATACAATATTAAATAAAGCCTCGTTTGGAAACAGATTATTTTAGTAATTTTTTAGCTTTTTTACTAAAATATGAGGTAAAAAAAACTAGGGCTCTATTTGGTAGAGCTTTGGAACTTTAGTTCCAGTCATTGGTTCTCACGTGGTGTTTGTTTGAAGCTTTCAAAAATTAATTCCACGCTCACTTTTGAAAACTTGGTCGAAGGCGGGAAAATTTGGACTCACCAGTCGTCTGGCCGGTTGATCGAAACACTATAATTTTTTTTATTTTTTCTTGCAATTGACACATATTAACTTTTATATATTTAACAAAAAATATTTTTCAAATTTTTTAAAATTTTATATGAACTCAAATAGAATTTTGAGTTGTGTGTTCGGTTATGAGTTGTAGATTTTTGTATCAAATATCATATGTCACATCAAAAATTCCACACTCAATTTAAAATTCTTTTCAAAACTCATTCACCAAATAAATTTTCCACACTCAAAATCATAATTTCAAAACTCACAAACTCAAAATACAACTTCTATTCTCAAATCATATTTAGAAAGTTCTACCAAACGCTACCTAGTATGTTCAGAATGACTTTTTAATTTTTTTACAAAAAGATGTGCAAAAAGTAAAGAGAAAATAGAATTTTTGACTTTTTGATATAGGTTATAGGTTTTTTGATTTTTTTAGTAACTTTTTGACTTTTAAGCTAAAACTATAACATACCAAACGAGGCCTAAGTATTTTACACATTTTATAGCAATTACATAGCAATATATACGTAATAAATATAAACATACAAGAAGTGTCTAATGGATAGCATCAAACACCCTTGTCCAAGTGTTGGATGTTCAACACGAGTATTTGATTTATTTTAAAGAGTCCATGTAATATAGGTCAATAATAGAGCCGCTTACTTAAAAGTGCCTTGGGTGACAATCCCTTTGGTTGACCAGCTTTGCTGTCCACGTGAACATCACTTGTGACCAACTTAATTAGTTGGGAAGGCAATTGAGAACCAGAGAAGGCATTAATGTAAGAGATAGCTTTTGTCTGATCCCCTTCTTTCCTGCAGACAGGCAGATGATTGTAAGGTTCTACGATGAGAGTCTGAATAAAATTTCAACCATAATTTTGAAAATTTCATACCTAAATAACTCTGTCGCTTTGTGAGTAACTACCACTCTTCTAATGGCAAGACTTTTTATATGTTTAGCAAGTACATGAATTACTTTATCAGGATTGAGGAAAGAGTACTCCACTAATATCACAGCATCATACAGAAGTTTCCTCAGAGAAAGTTCATCTTCAGAACTCTGCAGATACACTCATAAAATACTGCATATATGTCAGAATAATGACAAAGAGCAGATGATCAAATCCCATGGAAGCATTTCTATAAGAAAAAAAAAAACACGCAATACAAAAGACAATTCAATTTGTCAAGAACCATAAAATGACTTTACAGTGAAAAAGGCCAGTGGTTATGACAGAAAAGTCAAAAAAGTAAATTAGTAATGATTCCTTATATGAGATAACTGAAGCTCGAATAAATCAGCTTAGGGTATGATGAGATATCACCCCTTATTTATACATGAAGATTAAGGTTTACAAACACGACAATTACAAGATGATCCCTGAGGGTATAACAATGATTACAGACCCTAGTGCCTTTCGGCTAATAAAATACTAAGAGACTTTCGGTGATTATAATATGCCAACAATATTATTATTGATTCCACTCATTAAGCACATTACAAATATAAAAAATCTTTTAAATTATATCATATTATCAATTTGGTATACTAATTAGTATATTAATTGATGCATATAATATTATTCTTATGCTATATGTCCATTTACATGTATTCAGTGCGGAGACACTTTTTGGCAAGTTTGTTTTTGCCAGTGTATCTAAGGTTGGTTAAGCCTGGATCCGTGACATAAACCTATACTTGTAAGACTAATTATACCATATTCATTCTTAAATTGCTTTTGCAGATTCTTTGAAAATTCACAAATTTGAATTACATGTAATTTTAGCTTGGTTAACTTGCTCCAAATCCGAGACATAAACCTATACTTGTAAGGCTAATTATACCATATTCATTCTTAAATTGCTTTTGCAGATTCCTTGAAAATTCACAAATTTGAATTGCATGTAATTTTAGCTTGGTTAGCTTGCTTCTAATCTGTTTTTATTTTTATTTTTAATTAAGACACATTTACTTTAGGACTTCTATTGAACGAGCGCATTTCCATTTTGTACCTTATGGTGATTATGAACATGTTAAAGGCATTGATTTGTTATACTTGTGGATTTGCTTCGAGATTTTTTCGTACTGTGCTGTTAGAACCAGTGTTGTTGATAATACTTGAATGAAATTCAAATTCACCCATCTAAGTTTTTCTGAACTAACCCTTTCCGCTGATCATATTTCCTGATTATGTTGGAAGTTGTTGCAGATGCTATTTCAAATATTCATTGCCTTCTATTTGTGTGAACATGGTATTATGAACTCCAAGAAAACTAGGGGTGCAACTCGAGCGGGTTCGGTCAGATTGAGAAGTTATTTAAGTCCAGCCCAAGTTATGCTGAGATCTGCTTAGGCTTGCCTAGGCCCGAATTATAATCCGGGGTTGCCTGTCCAAACCTGATTCAAGTTAAACCAGAATTGTCCAAGTTACCCAAATTGTAAATCAATTTCAGGTTTTTTTTTTTTTTTTTAAAGCTACATTATTAAATTATTAAACTTTGGCTCTATTTACTTTTTTTTATTATTGTTTTTTATTATAGAAAATCATTAATACCATTAAAATAAATAATTTATATAATGTAAGAAAGATGCTGTTATAGTAATATTTACAATTTATGAGTGAAAATAAAAAAAAAAATTAAGATTTTATGCTATTTATATATATAATATATATTCAATATGATTTAATAATCTAAATTACTTTAATATCATGTAATAACTAATAATTTATATATATATATATATATAATTCGGGTTTCGGATTGTTTAATATCTTTGTCAAAATCCATCCAAATTTAATTCGGATTTTTAAATATTTGCCCAAATTCGTATTGAATTTGAAAATATCTTATCTAAGTTTTAAAAAAAATCAACTTTGTTCAGATTGAGCCCGCTCAAATTGCACCCTTAATGAAAACCCCAATCTTGGTACCGCATACATTTATTTTGCTATCTCAGTGCATGCATGTTCCATTAATTTGTTAGGTCAGATTGTAGATACTTGAATTTGTTTATGTTTATTGGCTGTTTGGAAGCACGGATACAAGGATTCGGAACAAAGGAGAAAGCAGAAAGAGATGCTGACATTAATGCTTCACAATCTTCATGTGTCTGTCCCATAATTTCATTTTCATTGTGAGTGCAAGTGTGATCATCAACACAAGCAGAGTAGGTACGTGGTTCCTTACCCTTTCTTGTTTTTGGATCAAAGATTTTAAGTGATGATTTATGGAGGGAAAAGAAAAAGGAAGGGTAAATTGATAAAAATTTAGTTTATATTTCATTCACTGTTCACTTCTTTTTTTTTTCACTCTCTCACTGAATCTCTTTTTAAATCTTTGTTCCAAACACAGCCTAACGGGAGGCGGGAGAAAACATTGCTACACTGCTTTCCTATCACAATTATCTTGGCTTCCCAGTTTAGTTGCATGTTTGCATCAACTTAAAGAGATTGATTTTTATTTTTATTTTTTTTTTGTTATGGAAAAAAAAAACATGTAAATCCATCATCATGAGGGCATGAAGAAGGGATATCTAAAACATTTATTACTCGTAACAGAGTAGTGAGTATACATTGAAGGATCACATGTATTCACCAAGTTTTTACGAGAATTCAGCTAGGAGCAGTGCACTACCTGGTATAATATATTATACATGTGTGTTTATATTCTGAATCCCGTGTTTAGAAACAAAAGTGGGCCTCTAGATTGGCACTACCCTAGGATAGACAACTAGGCTAGTGATCCACGTAGTTGTCCCTTGGAACAGTAAGAAAGTTAGAGGTTCAGGTTCGAGTTAATGGAGCGATTGCAACCTTTTTGTTACGATCTAACTTACTATCCTATTGTATGGAAAAAATAAAATAAAAAAGAGATTAGCAATCCCCGGACTCCTATTAGGGACTATTGAATCTCATTAGGGGTAAGATACAAAAATTATTTTTTGGGTTTTCTTTTTTTTTTTTTGGGGGGGGTGTGGATAGCTAAGAAGGATGGTTTTACTAAAAGATGACTAGATTAGTAATGCAAACATATATTGGATGCTTTTTCCTTAGGTGAGGTTTTTCTTTAAGTAGTTTTTCTTTTAAATATTTTTTTGAATGATTCCCATATGCTTTTTCCTTAGGTGAGGTTTTTCTTTAAGTAGTTTTTCTTTTAAATATTTTTTTGAATGATTCCCATCCTCCTCCTCTTATCTGTTTGAATAAGTTCTATACTTCTAACTTTTATTTTTATTTGCGTAGTCCTCTAATTTCTGCAATAATCACGTCCTTAGGATTGTGATTCCCTTTGGAGTGAAGCCTTTTGAAGCATAAACTGCGTATCATCTGAAGAGGGTCTCCTTGTTTTTACTATTATTGTCAGCATCTCGGCTTGTGATGTCTATGAATTTAAAGTCCCTTTTAAATTCCTTAATTTCATTGATTAGAGAATTTGCTTAGAGTTTCTATGATTTGGGTCTCTTAGGATTGTGGAAAGGTTTTGCTGTAAAAAAAATTGTGAGCATGGCCTTGGTACCAATTTTGTGTGAAGTCTTTTGGTTGGCTTAGCTAATTTAAGGCTTGAAATCATTACATGTAATTGTAATTTTAAACACACATGAGATAGGTTAGGATTTGAGATGATTGTTATGTATACTTTAAGATGAGTTTATGTTTGTGTCTGATCATGAATTTGGTTGGATTTGAAAAGGAGAAATAAAAAATTTATGACTGTTTCATCCACATTTTTTTTTCTTTTTAATTCCTTATTGAAATTTATGACCCAAACACAACCTAAGAGCTTGATTAGATAAAAGAAACTTAAAGAGTTTTCTGTCATCATAATACATGATATAGAATAGCCATATTGAGATGATTGTAAACTAAGGTTTCGTTTGACAACTTATTTTCATTGTGGCTAAAATAGTCAAAATATTAACAAAATAAATAAATAAACAAGTCACTAACATAGTTGAAAGTCACGAAAATAAGTCTCAGTAATTTACGATTTTTGATACAACTAAAAAAAATTATTCTCAAACACATTAAGGTGTTGTTTGGCAATTCTTTTTAGTAGTTTTTTTTTTGAGAAAATATTTTTTTAGTTGTACTGAAAATTGTGAATGACTAAGACGTTTTACTTTATTAGTAACTTTTGGCTTCTTTTTTTTTAGGTCAAAGCTGCCAAACAGGACTTAATTTTTTTTCTGCTCATAACAAAATTTAAAAAAAAATGAAAAAAAGAAAAAGGAAGCCAATTTTCAAAAGAATCCTAAGCAAAAATAGTCATACTTAGCATATTCATATGAAGCTGAAAACAAACTGCAAAGAAAGCTATATACGAGCATATATGCATAGCTTAAACCCATCACTGGAGTGAAAAAAAAATAAAAAAAATATAAAATTCTACAATTCAACCATTATCAAAGGGGAACAAGTAAATGCTTCCAAAATTGGACCTGTCATTTTTTGACCAGGTGTCATGTTTCGTTCAAGTTAGTTTTGAGGAAAAAAAAAAAAAAAAAAATATTTAGAGATCAAAGTGAAAAAAAGATAAAACTTAAAAAGAAGTAAGTAAAAGAGAGGACTTTATTTACTAGTTTCTATTCCTAATTATCTTGTAAAACATCTTAATGATGATGCTCAAGAACTATCTCTATTTCTGATTAATACCTGCACTTCATGCTTTTACCAAAAAAACAGAAAAGAAAAGAAAAGGACAAGTAGTGGCTCAAAATTTTTAACACCTATGGTCAAGTTTGGGAAGACTAAATAAGTGCACTTTTTGTCTTTTTAGACTAAAAAGTTGAGGTTGAAAATATGAATGTTTGGGTTAACTTTTTGACTTTTTATGAAAAAATGTGTAATAAAAAATTGTAAAAATTGATTTGTAGGAGAAAATTAGAATTGGGAGTTGTGCAGCCGTAATTGTTGACTTTTGGTGAATAGTGATAACTTTTTAACTTTTTGAGTAACTTTTTGACTTTTTGACTTTTTGGGGTGTTCCCAAACTTGGCCATTAAGGCGTCGTTTGTGAATAGATTTTTTTAGTAATTTTTTTGATAAAAATATGATATAAAAAAAAATTAATATGTTTAGGATAATTTTTTAATTTTTTATGAAAAAATATATTAAAAAAAAAATTAATTTTTTAATATAAATTATTCACCTTTTAATTTTTAACTAAAAAATCACTTCCCAAATCAAGCGTAATACGACGAAGATAAGGCCTTGCCTTTTTAGATCTTTGAAAATTTGGGTCTTCCGTAATGAATGTTGTTGACCTTAAACAGTAGGGTAAGTTGCCTAGTGATTAAGCCAGTGCACCAGGGGTCGGGTCGTATTGAGTTCGACTCAGATCGATATACATGATAAAAGATCGTGTTGATCCAGATTTGATTCCGTCTTAACATCAGATCTCTATATTTGTTTAAATTTAATTCAAAAAATGATTATAAATACTAAATACATCCATCGAGTTATATATTAAGAAAATTTAAAAATTTATAATTAAATTTAATCACATTATATTTTTTAAATAAATATATAAGGATATTTACGTGTACTTATTATTCAATAGATGATATAATAATTAATGATATTTTTTATCAAATATTATAAAAAAAAAAGTACTAATTGCTAATTTTCAACGACAATTTAAAAATTTTATCATAAAAAATGTCACTAATTATAAGTTTTAGCTATAATTTTAAAAAATTGTCACAAAAAATATTATCAGTATGTTTGGTTTAAGTTTTCTGCAATTAGTTTTCAAGAAATTGAGTTTTTTATTTTTTTGTATTTTTATTTTTTATTTTTAGTAAATTTTTTTAAAATTTTAAGTAATTTTTGTAGATACACCTTATTTAGATGTATCTAAATAGTAAAATATTTGTGAAAAAATATTTTAAAAAATTAATAAATACATAAAAATATTAAAAAATGTACTGAATTTTGGTTTTTTTTTTAATTTATATTTTTGGTTTTTAGGGAATTTTTTAAAGATTTTTTTACAAATATTATACTTTTTAGATGTACTTATGTCAGGTGTGTCTAAAAATTTTAAAAATTGCTTAAATTATTAAAAAAATTGAGTGAAAACAAAAAAAATACGGAAAATGAACAGTAAAATTTTCTAAAAAGTAAATTCTAAAAACTGAAACCAAACAAAGTGATTAATTTTCAACTTTCGGCTACAG